ATATATATAGGCTTTAGATGTTAACATTCCCAAGAAAACATTCAGAGAACAGCAAGACTGCCAAGTCAAGTGCTCAACAATTGAAACATCAGAGTTAAGGTTTTCTCGCTGTTATGCATTTTATATAAAGTCCTTGGTTACAATATTGCTAAATTTTCCCCCAAAACATTTCCTCACACTGTGCATGTGTTCTGAGGAACAACAGGGAAAAGAAAGGGTGACTACATCAAGAGCTCAGTAAAAGCCTATACCTGAGATCAGGCAAACTATGTAACCTGGTTACTGCTAGAAAACAATGAGCATATTATAGTCACCAGCTTGGGACTTCGAAAATAAGAACCTGTGTGTATTAATTTTGGGAAGGACTGATCTGAAGAAGTGCTGAGAGCAGAGTCAAAATGCTGTGACTCTAGCTGGCACTTCTGATTCCAAGGGTTTCTCCTTGCTTCCCTGTCTATACGAGGGATACAGAGACATGATCTTACCTATAAATATATTGTAAAAAATTAACATTGAATGAAAGCTTGGTAACAAGGCTTCTAGACTTTTAGAGCCTATTGAAGCATTAAACTGCCTGGGGTTTTTGGTGGGAAGTTGGGAACCCAGAGGAACTTTTTTTTTAACCGGTCCTAAGCACCAAACTTAGCTGTTTTTGCCAACTAGCTAGGCTATGGCAACAATTAATAGATGCAAGTTCTTCTGGAGGGTGAGAGCTATAAAGCATTAGAGAAATGACCATCAGGAAAAAATCCTGTACCTCAGTGTGTATTTCTATGGCATGCAGTACACAAGGCATGACGGAAACATAATGGCAGATGACTAAAGTATTTAATAACTACTCATTTAGTCTACTGTATGAAGCAAGGCATCTGAAAAACACACCCCATAAAACCATGTGTGTGAAGACTGAATTACTCCTGAAAGTGGAGATGAACTGCTGCTACATAGGTTGTTTTTTCCACTAATATTTGAATGACTAATTCTGCAACCTATGCAACCTAATTTTTCATGTAACTGGACTTGCAACAAGATGAACAGCACTTTCAAAAATCAGCTCCCATGTTGAATATAACTGCAATCCTGAAGATACTCCAAATGGGACATACTGGGTGAACGCTCAGGTTTGGAAGGTTTACCAAGTTTAATACACTAAATAACCTTGCATGTTTGTTTCTGCCCATGCCTACAACCACCTTGCCAGAAATGCCAAACCAGTATGCAAACAAATCCTAAGGGCAGATCAGCAGGTGATGTAAATCAGCATAATACCTGTGAGTTCTAAGGAGCAAAAACAGTTTGCAAGGACTGAAAACTGGGTTGTCCATTTCCAAAGCTCGTTGAAGTTGCAAAATTAAAAGTGTTTCAGGTAACTTGTCTTGCCTGGCAGGGCAAATCCAAATTATAGACACCCTAAAAATACCACAGGACACACAAGACTATTTAGAGTCCTCTGACAAACAGAGGACTCTCTTCCTTGTCATGGCCAACTCACAATGAAGTGCCTACATTCCCAACAGTTTCTTTGCTCTTTTGGAGAGTAGGACTGTTGAGCTGCTACTTGCTCTTCAACCTGTGTTTCCCCCTCTGCATGGATTATCCAGGACGGTCTGCAAAGCCAAGCATGTTCAATATAAAGGTTTATAACCTATGTGATCATTTGAACTTACTCAAAATGACAGCATAAACATTTCTGAGTAGTAATGTATACATGTTAAATGGCAAGGAAGAACAAAGCCTACAATTGTCTTATATTAACAAGTGTTACTGGGACAAAACAAAATATCATTACTTCAGGTTGTAGAAAAGTCCTATTTTACAAATATCAATATTGCATATTGTCTCAAAACAGATACTGCTATTGAATACTACCAGCTAACCTGTGCCAAGAGCGTCAAGCAAAATACACCATTATTTCTGAATGAGCTGGGTAGAGAGCTTTTTTGATTTACAGTAAAGTGAAGGGCATGGTTGGGAGCTTTGTCCTTCAATTCTTTTCAAAGAAGTAATTTCCTTGTAGTGTTAAAGTGTGGCATTTTGAGTTCACTGCCAAAAACACAGCATGCCCTGAGATGGATCATTTGTGCAGTAACAGTGCACATGGTTCTCAACTGTTTGAGAAGAAATGCAGGACATATCCTGTTATCATAGGGAATATCCTCTGTGCTCAGGAGCAGCTCAATTGACTACAACTGATCAGCTCCTAGACAAGCTGAGGATTTGGCTCTTCGTTTTGGTATTTTTAATGTATATGTTTGTTTGGTTTGGGTTTTTTTTGGGGGAGGGGTTTGTTTATTTCTGTTTTCTTTGTTGCTGTTTGTTTTTTTTAAAAGTAACAAGCACCTAGAGCTGCTTAGGGAGAAGAGGAATGCCAGACAACATACATCCTCACCATCAGTTATCACTCAAATATCAACTATCCTAAACATCCATTTTCACTTTCTCTGAGCTCACTCCTCCACTAATGTGACATTAATAATCTCTACCCCAGCTTTCTTATCTCCTGTAAGTACCTCCAGGCTTATTGCTGTTTCTTTCAGGGAACTTGCACACCAAGCTAATTTCTCCAGTTAATTTGAGATTTTGCTAAAAAAATCCTTATGTGGTACATCTCTTAATTTAAGTAGTGAATTGAACTGGAGATCACAAGCCACCTGAATGCTTTTGCAAACACTACCATTACTCTTTTCACCATTAAACAAATTGGATGGAGAGATGTTATTTGTACTGTAAAGCATTTTCCTGTACATTCATGATGCAAATAGTTCAGTATCTGGTTGGCACTTTCTGCACAGTGAAAACCACAAATATTTGCACACAACCTCAGTGTGCTACTGCAGGAATAGTGTTGAGTCTCTAGAGGGCTCAAACACCATAAAATTTTTAAGATCTCAGTTCACCCTCCAGAAGGTTCACACCATTTCTACATTTCCAAAATGCTTCCCTAGTGCCACATTTCCTGTGACTGTCTTCTCTGAGTCTCACCCCAGTCTCACAAGCTCACAAGTCACTCATACATCTTTGCACCTTCTCATCAACTTCCAAGAGCACAGGTGCTCTCCTCCTATACCAGTCTACAT